TAATGAAAAATAAAAAAGAATATTTAAACAAAAAAATATTGAAATAAAAAAAATATTAAAAAAAAAATAAAAAATTAAAAACAAAACAAAAAATAAAAAAAAAATATTTAAAATATAAAAATATTAATATCAAATATATTAAAAATAAAAAAAAAATATTTCAAACATAAAAACTATTTTATGGTCTGTTATCTGTGATCTTTGGCCTAACTTCTGCGTGTGCTTCAATTGTCTTGGTGCATTACAGAGGGACGCTGGGCTTTTAAAAATATCTTAAAAAAAAATTAAAATAAAAAAAATTTTGTATGGAAAAATAAATATAAATTAAAATAAAAAAAGATTTAAATAAAAAAAAATTAAGAATGAAAAAATATATATTAAAAATAAAATTAATGAAAAATAAAAAAAACTAGGGGAATTTACGTATTCTCGGCAACCTAAGCAGCGACCTTCTTTCTATAGCCTTTTTCTCTAAGGAACGCACACATATGCAGTATTGGTTTTTTTACAATCTTTTGCTGCCAGCTGCTCTAACAATTTCAGTCGAAAGAATGGTCAAAAACTGTTTTGAAACGCTTTTACAAAGCTCCAATCTTCTCTAGTGAGAGCGAGTATTGTCGGCAACCAGTTTTTCTTCGGCAACCGTTCTATTTGAACTGCGTGTAAATCTGCTGTTCTATTATCGGCAACTCGAAATCAGCTACAATTTGTAGTGCGTGTGTTGCATTTCAAGAAAACCCTGCTAGATTGCTTCTTCTCAGTGGTAAAAATATAGTCAAATTGAAGCTGAAAGCATAAAGAATCGTTTGCATGCATTCAGCGAAGTGTTTTCGTAAGAAAATCCAGTGAAAATAGTGTTTCAATTTGGGTTTCCGAAAATAGTCTGGTATGCCGAAGCCGTCATTTCTCCTATATAAAAAAATAAGAAATAAAAATAAATGTTGATAAAAAATATTAAAAATATCAAAAAATTAAAAATTAAAATATAATAAAATAAAAAAATATTCAAAATAAAATAAAATATTCAAAATAAAAAAAAATTCAAAAACAAAAACTATTTAAAGGTCTGTGTAGCATCCCAAATTGTAGCATTTCTAATATTTCCAACTTATCATAAATTATCATGAACGCCAGTGACATGAAACATGCATGCCACACATTATCCTCAAGCCTTCATCAGCTCATGCTTCAAGGTTTCAAATTTTCCCACAGTTCATAAATCCTTACAATGACACATTTGACAAAACCCAGACATTCCCACATTCCAAACCAAAAGTTCCCTTACTTCAGAACATTGCCTACGTGGAGTTTTACAATTGATTGCTTAGCAGCACAAGTGCAAAACACAACTTCAAACTAAACTTATTGCTAAAGCATTTTCCCATGTAACACATAATGACGACCCACGTTTTCGTCACCTCAAGACAAAACCAAATCCAGATTCCTACACAGCAAGACGTAATCTGACTCTGCCTTCTCCGAACCACATTTGTTCCCATACACGGTGCATACGCACCAATATGTTCGACCGGCACCAAACGCATCATATTACATGTGCTGGCGCCGGACTTTCGTTCTTACTTTGCGATTAAGCGCCGAGTTCTCTTTTCTGATAAAACTTCTTACTGAGCTCCCATTGGTTAAGCCATAATTTCAGGCAACTCCAAGCGTCTCTCTCTAGAACGAATAACATTGTAGAGATAGTAAACTATGTAGAGTTTAAGTAACTTGTAATCAAAATGTTTCCGTAATAAAGAGTTCGATACAAACCATCAACCGATGAACATCGTTTATGTCACGAGATAATCTGTGCTCTTTGGCCTAACTTCTGCGTCTGTTTCAATTGTCTAGGTGCATTACGGAGGGACGCTGGGCTTTTATATATATACTAGCTGAGTGTGCCCGGTCTTGCTCGGGATTCAATATTAGCTTGAGTTTATGCGCCGATTTAAAAAAAAGCATGCTATATTGTACGTAGCCCCCCCCCCCTATTATCTAAGGGGCTACCCCCTATGATTATCTCCTTATAACCCCAAACTCGCCCCCACATGCCTAATTTGGTTCCATTTGCTTGATTAGTTCTCGAGTTATGCAGAAATTTCTGTTTCATTTGTATGGGAGCCCCCTCTTACAGAAGGGGGAGGGGTCTCGAACCATCATAAGAACCTTCCACGGCCCCAAAAACCCCTGTATACAAATTTTCACGCCAATCGGTTCAGTAGTTTCTGAGTCTATAAGGGTCAGACCGACAGACAGACAGACAGAAATTCATTTTTATATATATAGATTAATACTACATTAACAATATAATTCACTCTCCGATTTTCCAAACATCACTCAGGATACAGAAACTCATCAAAGGTAACCAATTTGCATTTGATTACAGTCGAGGGGTAAATCAAAAGTAACACATAAAACTTTGCTAGAAGCCACTTGTTGTATAAATGTGTTATAAGTGATGCAGAAATCATTCCACGTTTTATATGAGGTTTGTAGATGCTTTCTTCATACTTCACAGATTTAGATGGTCCCATGGCTATCTAGGTACATGTTTATGTCACGACCACAAATTCATTCTTATATCACAGTTCCTAATGTTTTTGTAAAAAAACTGCGGAGCTATAGGATCAGTTTCATTGATTGACCTCTTTTACGGATGTTCTGGACTTACACCAGAGGATGGCCTCATGGCCATTTGAGTCCATGTTTATGTCATGACCCCAAATTCTTTCTTATATCGCAGTTCAACATGCTTTCGAAAAAAAAAAACGTAGAACTCTAGGATCAGTTTCGAGGATTGACCATTTTAAAAGATGTTCTAGATCTTGCGGAGGACAGTCCCATGGCCTTCTAGGTACATGTTTATGTCACGACCGCAAATTAATTTATATTTAACAGTTCCGAGTGTTTTCGAGAAAAACCGTGGAGCTCTAGGATCAGTTCCACACATTGACCTATTTTCCGGATTTTTCGGATCTTTCGGAGGACGGTCCACTGAGTCCTTGATTATGTCACGATCCCAAATTCATTCTAATATCACAGTCCCTAACGTTTTCAAGAAAACCACGGAGCTCTAGGATCAGTTTTGTGAATTTTCCACTTTCACGGATGTTCCGGATCTTCCGGAGGACGGTCCCATGAACATCCAGGTTCATGTTTATGTCACAACCCCAAATTCTTTCTATCATCACAGTTCCTAATGTTAAAAAAAAAACGCGGAGCTCTAGAATCAGGATCGTGGATTTACCACTTTTACGGATGTTCCGGATCTTCCGCTGGACGGGTCCGATGGCCATCTGGTTCCATGATCCAAATTCATTCTATCATCTCAGTTCTTAGTGTTTTTCAAAAACTGCGGAGCTCTAGGATCAGTTTCATGGATTGACAATTTTTACGGATGTTCCGGATCTTCTGGAGGACGGTCCTATGGACATTCAGGTTCATGTTTATGTCATGACCCCAAATATTTTTTTATATCACAGTTCCTAATGTTTTCCAAAAAAAAAACCGCAGAGTTCTAGGATCAGGTTCATGGATTGACCACTTTTACGGATGTTCCGGATTTTTTAAGGACCGTTCCGTTGTCTCCAGGATCCATATATGTGAACCATGACTGTATTCTGGCTAATTGTGAACATTTGTGCCCATTAATCTAAATTACAGATCTTGCGCCACTTGCAAAACCCTACAAACACACTTTTCAAAAAAACGTGTAACAACTCTTTTCGCTTTTTGAAAAAGTAGACGACTCTATTTCCAATATTTTTGCAATCAAAATCATCTACTGGGCTTTTAAAATTCTAAAGATGCCACAATTTTTGAAATTCATTAATAAATGGCTAAGTTATGACATTGCAAACTTACCGTTACACGTTTTTCGGAGGCTTCGTAGTCAGCGTAAAGTTTTTTACCCACCGTATTCGGAGTGTTAAGAAATATCAAATTCAAAGAGGGTCGACATCAATGCATCCATGTTATCTCACGCTGAAAGGCGTGGGTTTAAATTTCTTCCCCGAAAAAGTAAAAAAAAATGAACTATACACAAATGGTCAAAAATAATCCTCAATTCACTTAAAACTTGGCTCAACTGAGAATTCTCGCTTAGACATTATCACAGACTACCGGTAGATGGTCAACAGCTGGATTGTTCGGTAAAATTTTGGCAGTTAATTTTATTTATTTTAAAACTACTATAAAACTAAACAGCGTTTTATAATTAGTTTTCATCTCAAACGAACGGTCCTGTTTAGATTTCGGTTAAAAATTACCGAACATGACAATAGAGAACTGAGCATGATCCCTAGTTGTCCACAGTTGACTTCTTGCTGCAAGAGCTCACGAATACTAAAGCCCGGTTAAGACCATTCAGTTCGACGTCCAACTTGCTTGGCCGAAGCCGTTCGAATTTCAATTGATATCGGCTTCCGATGGCTTCGAGACTCTGGTGACGAATAATTTCAATCAATAACAAACTATACCTCAAGTTTGAATTGTTCAATAAGGAAAATCTTCATACACGGATACTAGATATTGATTAGCGATAAAGTATGTCACCATAATACTTGGGTTAATAGGTTGTTCGTGTCTCCTTACGCTTCTTCTGCTATCTCTCAATCTTCTTCTTTGTTTTATTTAGATTAGTTCAAATGTTTACTTTTACTCATCGAACTCGAGTTCTTGCATTAACCCACTTCATCACTTCACGATCCTTTGGAGATTAGGCCTTCGTCAAATCTTACCTTTTCCTAACGTAGCCATTATTTTCCAAACTCAATCGTGACTAAATCAGATGAACCATATGATACTCTATACTTCAGTGGTAACTTTTCCACCTCTCTATGTGTGAAAATGAATTTCTCACGTCACATAGAGTCGTTTATAAATGTCTTCATTTAACTCTTCTAACCTGCACCACACACGTTGCATAATTAATTATCATTTCCTTCCTTCCTTCCTTTCTTCTCCTCCCTGTTTCTGCTTTGCTTTCATCCCGCCCGCAGAGCTATCGGCCTCGCTGGAAGATGACGACGATATCGACGCCAACCCGGAGGCTCGTTTCAAGAAGAAGAAGAAGTACCACCTGAAGCACAAGTACAAAAAATTCCTGCTCCCGCTGCTGTTGGCCTACAAGCTCAAGTTCATGATGCTGTTCCCGGCCATAATCGGTGGGCTGGCGCTGCTGGTCAAGGCTGCCGGTTTGGCTGGATTCTTCTTTGCGCTGTTCGCCTCGGTCGTGAGCTTGCAGAAATCCCACTAGGAGGAGCAGGAGCATAAACACACAGATTGTGGAAGATGGATGCGGATCGAGTGAATGAGTGTGCTGTTGTGAATCGCGCAGTTGTTTTTGAGTGTGATTTTTGTCAGAAATGGACGAAAGTAAAAAGTAAGTAAGCGTGACTAATGTTTTCTTTGTTTTTCGCTGATCGGATGCGAAAGTTTGGAAAGCTAATGAGCATTTATGTGATACTGTGTTTGTCTTTTTGTCTATTTTGTTCCCCCTAAAGGTCTGATCGTGGCACGCATGCACGCGTAACGTTAACGAGATTCGAAAGAAAAAAAAAGAAAAACACGAGTGATCTACGGCGAGAGGGCAAATGCGGCAAGCCAGTGAGCGTGAAATTGAAACGACCTTGATTAGAGTGTGCCCGGTGTAAGAAAGAAGAACTAGTTGCCGAGGATCACCGAAACGGAAAATACTCAAATGAATTTAGTGCTGCTTGTATTATGTTTTTTTTTTTTCATAATTTATGTTTTGTTTTGTTCAAAAGCTGATTTATCGAGTGATGACAATCTATGAGTGAGCAGAACCGCCAATTGGACGATGTCAGGTTCAAATAATTTATAGTAGGAGAAATCGCTGATCGAAGCATAGACCATGGTCACAATTGTTGCTAGTTTAAACCGTTTCTAGTGTTAGTTATTTATTGTCAGTGTTGTTTAAAGAAGCCGAGCGAAACGATGACCATATAAATGTAGATAATTTATTTCCCAAACCTAAATCTCCTAACGAGTACCTTCATTTACAATGATGACACTTCACCCGTAAGCAAGCCCTTTTCCCCTCAATTTCAAACTAGCAAACAGCTGCCGAAAATCATCGTCTGACGAGGCTTAACCGTATATAATTTTCCACTCCAAGAACCTCAACTCTTCGGCTCCAAACGTCAGCTGTTGTTGGGCATTCCTCAAAACTAGGTCTTCCGAAGGGTTAGTGCGTGAGATAATTGCAATGCACGATCAGGTGCAGCCTATGCGTATCTAATCTTCCAACAGACGTACAATTATCACTATTCTGCAATGAGAGGATGATGATCGGCCTTCGGATAGAGAGGAAGAGAAAAACAACGCCCGGCTGCCAACATGCGAAATCGTGTTACCAATGATTGGGTACTTGTAACTTTTTTTTTTGGTTTTGCAAATAGACACCTAATCGATTTCCGATTCATAGAAACTAGGTGAATAAGTTTACATGGACTGCTTTGAACGCTGGATGGGGTTTGTTTGGGTCCCAGAGTAATTAAAAGCAAGTGGAAAGGAGAGACCAGTGTACTTAGTGAGATTATTATTGTTGTAAATGCAAATCAACCGGTGATCGTGTAAGTCGGCAAAAGTAACCCCATTACGACAGGAGAAATTCATTTCGTATGCATGTGGTTGGTTCGGTTGCATGATTGATTTTCAAGCAAGTTGAACATGGTTTAGATATCGGTATTTGTATAGCGCTGCATAAAATTAATGAAAATGTAGGAAGCTGTGATTAAGGGAGCTTCTGAACATTACTTTGTTAGGAATCCCATCGACTCTGATCAACTAGTTAAAATTTTCTGAAAGTATACTTCTTCTCCATGGTCGAGCTTCTGCCTACTCTCACTTCAGTGTTGTTTAACGCACCCTTATTAATTGAAAGATTTCTATGCAAACCCATGCATGAATTCGTATATAGTGTGTCAACTACAATGGTACTCCAGTGGATTTATTTTATTAACGAACATGTTTGGGCCAAAGGGTCTCAGAATTTGAGGAACATATGTAGAGTTTAAGTTTTTGGATATTGAGCATTTCCATGTCAATTAGCAAAAAAAAAATGCAGGCTCGACCATCTCTGGTTGATCCTTAGTTGGCATTTTCGTCTCAGATACTCAATGTGGGATCTCCAGGTGCATTTGGAATCGAACCAGACCCTGAGATATTTAAAAGACATGGAATGAGTGATCGGCTTACCCAAAAGTTGAAACTAAGGTTGTGCTGGGTTATGCTTCCTGGAAAAAACGACCAACTCAGTTTTCTCCTTGGAGAATTCGATACCTAGCTGAATAGCCCAAGTAGACAAATTGTCCAAGGCATCCTCTAAGGGTCCTTGCAGTTCAACCTCTTTTGGCCCTGTGATAGACACTACGCCGTCATCTGCAAGTTGTCTCAACGTGCAATTGTCACTAAGACAATTGTCAATTTCTCTAACGTAGAAATTGTCAATTTCTCTAACGTAGAAATTGTACAAAAGGGGGCTTAAACATGAGCCTTGGGGGAAACCCATATAGCTAAATCGAAAAGCTGTAGAGTTTCCATGAGAAAAGCTCATATGTTTTTCTGACAGCAAATTGTACAAAAAATTATTCATTAATGGAGACAATCCACAAGCGTGGAGTGTCTCTGAAAGAACTTCAACGGATACTGAATCAAAAGCCCCCTTGATATCCAAGAACACAGAAGCCATTTGATCTTTCTTAGCAAAAGCCAACTGAATTTCCGAGGAAAGCAACGCGAGACAGTCGTTCGTTCCCTTACCACTACGGAAACCAAATTGAGTATCTGAAAGAAGGTGGTTCGTCTCAACCCATTTGTCGAGGCGGAAAAGGATCATTTTCTCCATTAATTTCCGAATGCACGACAGCATCGCGATGGGCCGATACGAATTGTGATCCAACGCGGGTTTATCAGGCTTTTTAATGGCTATCACCTTCACTCGTCTCCAATCGTCGGGAACAAGCTCCAAGAACTGATTGTAAAAGTTCAACATGCGACTCCTAGCGACGGCTGGGAGGTTTTTCAGCAAGTTGAACTTGATTCTATTAGATCCCGGGGCAGAATTGCCACACGAAAGGAGAGCGAGTGAAAGTTCGACCATTGAAAAAGGCTGACTGATTTCGTCTACCGAATTTGCGGTTTCGCGAGGAATCAACTGCGACGGCACGGAATCCGGACACACTTTTCGCGCGAATTTAAGAACCCATTGATCCGAGCATTCCTCGCTTTCGTTGTTAGTAGACCGGTTACGCATTCTTCGCGCCGTACTCCAAAGCGTATTCATGGACGGTTCGCGCGACAATCCGTCTACAAACTGCCGCCAGTAACCCCGTTTTTTGGCCTTGATGAGGCTCTTTAAGGGGCCTCCCTTAGCTCAGTCGGTAAAGGCGCAGCTACAAAGCAAGACCATGCTGGAGGTGGCTGGGTTCAATTCCCGGTTCGGTCTAGGAATTTTTCGGGTTGGAAAATTTCTCGACTTCCCTGGGCAAAGAAGTATGATTGGACTTGCCACACAATTATACCAATGCAAAAATGGTACAGGCATCGAAAGCTCTCAATTAATAACTGTGGCAGTGCATCTAGAACACTAAGTTGAGAGCACGCAATAAGCTAATATGCGATGTGCAATAAGCTTGAAATGCAAAGAAGAAAAAGTAGAAGAAGAAGAAGAAAAAGAAGAAGAGGCTCTTGAGTTCGCGTTAAAGAGATGTGTATGCGTCGAAATGCTCGCGTGTTAGGCGTTTCCGAAAATGTTTAAACGCGTCGGACTTTTTACGGTAAACCTCCGTGCATTGTTGATCCCACCAGAGTAATGGTGTTTTCTTACGGATTGACGATCGCGGCACCGGTCGTGTTTGAGCTTGAAGGGCGCTGTCGACGATGAGATTAGAGAGGAAATTATATTCCTCTAACGGCGGAAGCTCTTCCACTGACGATTCTGAATCGTCTATCGCGGATTGGAACTTAGTCCAATCAATGTTACGGGTTAGATCATACGCGACGTTAACGGATTCTGACGAGTTGAACCCACTGGCAATCGACATTTTGATCGGCACATGATCACTACCGTGCGGATCCTGGATTACATGCCAAGTGTAATCCAACGATAGTGAATTGGAGCAAAAGGTGAGGTCTTATCTGCTACCATTCGAGGATGGACCAGCCAAACGTGTTACTTCTCCATTGTTAAGTATTGTCATGTTGAAGTTGTCGCAGAGATCATAAATCAAAGTAGAACGGTTATCATCGTACAGCTCCCCACAGCCTGTACCGTGGGAGTTAAAATCTCCCATGATCAACCATGGAGCGGGAAGTACCGCACATATGTCGAAAAGTTGCTGGCGATTAACAGAGACTCTAGGAGCAATATATACAAAAGCAATACAAAGGCTCTTACCTTTAATGGTAGCCTGACATGCGACAACTTCAATACCGGGGAATTCGGGAAGATTCACTCTATAGAAGGAATGGCACTTTTTGATCCCTAAAAGTACCCCTCCTCCACGTGAATCCTCACGATCCAATCGAATAATGTTAAAATTAAAAAAAGGGAGATCAATTTCTGAAGAGAGCCATGTTTCACAGAGGGCAAATGCATCGCAATTATTGTTATGGACTAAATACTTGAACGAATCTAATTTCAGAATAAGACAATTCCACTGTAGAACAGTGATCAAATCCCCGACCTCGTTTGGAAAATTATCCATCGAAGGAGATGATAGCTGCAAGAAGGGCCCATTTTGAAGTCAATTGCTTCAAGAAGGATTTCACAGTGGGAAGCAATGTGAGGACAATGCTTTTCAGAGGATCAGAAATGTTGAGGTATTTGAGGATACCGTCCACAATGTCATCAAATGAGAACAGCCCAGATGAAGAAGGGGTTTCTGTTCTTAAAATTGGGGCATCAGGGGTTTTGGATGTCCCCGGAAGTGGTGGAAAATCCTGGGTATAGTCAGTTCTGCGGAATCCAGGAGGAGTAGAAGTCTCCTTTTTTCCACCACTCCTTGATTTGGGCAAGCTGATTTGGGGTTCTTGATTGTCATCTTTCCGCGAACGGATGCGTTTTCGTTTCCGTGCAAAAAAACGGTAAGAAGATCCCTCCTCAGCCAAGTCAGAGTCAGTCTCGTCATCTGACAAAAGAGAAAAGGGATTTTTGTCATTGCTCGATGGCGTGGCTGTCTTAAGCATTTCTGCAAAAGACCGCCTGGAACGTTCCTTAAGGGAGCGTTTCAT